AAAGCTATTAGGACCTAGTCTCCTGTCTCCTGGTGCAGCCCATTGTCCATCATGGTCGTTAGGTGGTACAGGAAGTAAAAAGAGTGAGCAGAGAGGGGCTAATGGCCAAGTTGTTCCCGAGGAGTGGGGGACCAGCAGCAGGAGCTCAGTAATTGCTGATGGGTGGTGATGGCCCTGGGGTAGGACAGGAAGGTGGAGGGATGTGCTGTGACTTCTGAGCCCACTCTTCAAGGTCCTGGGTGCCCCTTCCTCCCATTGACCTCTACTCACTTGGGAATATCAACTCAGCCCAATGTGAGCCCCCCTATCCTGTTCTGCCTTGCTCTGTTTAGCCAAAAAAAAGGGACAGTGGTGATAGTGAGGCTCATGAAGCAATGAAGCTGGAGGACCGAAGGCCCTGCAGGAGGGAGTGCCACAGTGACAGGACCAGTGTGTTGAGGAGTGAGGGGGGGTGGTGTATGGGGTGACACTGATACTGACGCCACCAGTGATGGGCTGATGCTGATCAGAGACAGCTGTGGTGATAGGTCATGCTGCAGCAGACACCACCATGGTGGGGATGGCGATGTGACAGCAGCGATGGTGGGACAGTGAGGGGTGATGTGACACCAGGAATGGGGGGACAATGATATGACATCAGGGAGGGGGACAGTGATGGGTTATGTGACATCAGGGATGGGGAACGGTGATGTGACATCAGGGAGGGAGGACAGTGATGGGCAAAGTGACACCAGGGATGGGGGACAGTGATGTGACATCAGGGAGGACAGTGATAGGTGATGTGACATCAGGAATGGGGATAGTGATGTGACATCAGGGGGACAGTGATAGGTGATGTGACATCAGGAATGGGGGATAGTGATGTGACATCAGGGGGGACAGTGTTGGGTGATGTGACATCAGGAATGGGGGATAGTGATGTGACATCAGGGGGAACAGTGATGGGTGATGAGGCATCAGGGATGGAGAACTGTGGTGTGACATCAGGGAGGGGGGACAGTGATGGGTGAGGTGACATCAGGGATGGGGGACAGTAATGCAGTGGTCATGGTTCTTCGGACATCAGCAATGGCTCTTGTGAGGACTGAGGTGGCTGTCACCCATGGTAATGTTCAAGTTGACCCTAGTACTGTGATCTGAGGCGGGCAAGGTGATGGTGGGAAAGAGGACTCTCCCACTTAGGGAGAGGTGGCAGGTGGGTCAGGCTGACGGCCCCTCTGTGCCTCTGCAATAGGCCTCAGTGCCTGCCTGGCCTCGCCCAGAGCGCAAGGATGGGACAATCCAGTCAAGGGAAGGAGGCTGGTCCTGCTTCCCTGCGCTTGAGCCCCATCTCCTAGGACCATGTGCTGTCCTCTGTGCGTGTTCCCTTGTCTGTCTGTGTCTGTGTGTGCATGCACACATGTACCTGGCTGGGGGCGTGTCTGCATGGCCTATGGGTGTGCATGGTCGTCTCTGTGTTGAGCCACCTGACGCATGGGGTGCCCTTGGCCTGGGTGACTCACAATTGGCCTGCATGGAAGTGAGGAGGGGATCAATCCAGCAGGCACTTCTGCTCCTCAAAGGATCCACACTGTCCCCTCCAGCGGGGTTCTCAGACAGGCTCTGGACACAGCTTAAGCTTGCTGTTGGGGACCCTGAGGCAACTCACTTGGAGTTGCCCTCTCTGCAGGCTAGGAATGGAAGAATGCCCTCACCTGGCCTGGGTCCCCTGGGACAGCACCTTTGGCAGGGACCCTTGGCTTCAGCAGCCCTGTTCTTCCCTGTTCTCTCTGAGTCCACTTGCCTTTCTTCCAACACTCGACAGTCGCTCCACCCAGGGGCAGGTATCAGGGGCATGGACCCTCAGGAGGTGAGGTGGATTCAGACCCTGTCCAGGAGGTCCTCATGTCCCCTAGGGAGTTGGCCACCAGGCAGACAGGTGGTCAAGCTATGAAGAGAGCTACTAAACAGTGCAGGCTCCCGAGGAGGAGAGGGGAAAAGGAGAGGGGAGGAGAGAAGAGTTCCAGTAGGAAGGGAGGGGAGGGGAGGCTGTTCTCAGCAGAGGGGGCAGCATGGGAGCTGGGGGGAGTTGGGGAAGGGCTGGTGAACACAAGGTGCCCATGGTCCGAGGTGCTGCCCGGGAGGCCCTGCTCCTCTCTCCTCCAGCCTGCCGGAGGAGGCTGGTGATTTCCCAAGGGGTGTGGGGGAACGAGGCCCCAGAGGACCTTTCCTTGACCCCAGAGCAGAGCCCTGGGTGGGTCTGGTCAGTGTCCTCTCTGAGAAGGGACAAGGACCCCGCCTGCAGCCATGGAAAGTGGGCTGAGCATCACCCTCTCCTCCCCAGGAGACTCGCTGCCTCACCTGCCCAGGCAGAGCACTGGCCTGGGTCCTGCCAAGCGGTTCCCAGGGGGACTCATGGAAGAGGCCTGGCAGATGGCACGGAGGGAGGAGGCTCCTTCGGGCCTGGTCCCCACCCTCTGCCATGATTGCAGCTTCACAGGGGCCTGATGGTGGCTTTCTGGAGACCAACTCCCCCACTCACACCTGGAGGCAGGTGGCTACACACAGGCCAGGAGGCCACTTTGAGGTTGCTCAAGGAGGCTGCCATGGGCCTTCACCCCTCTTCTCCTTGTGCTGGGAAACTGAGGCAAAACTCAGCCCTTTCTAAATCTGTCCAATGCCTGTGCGCTGGCCTGGCCACCACTGTCTGTCACCTGGATGGCAGTGATTGCAGGTGGGTCCTGGGCCCCTGGTGCCACATCCCTTACCATCTGCCCTCTGCCCAGTGGCCACACTGACATGCTAATGCACTCACCTGCCCCTCCACCACCACCCCCTCTCCTCCTGGGGCCCCTCCACTCTGCCCACCCAAAGGTCTATGGTCTTCTGAGTTAGTTCCCAATCAGGGCCTCTACTCAGCCCCCAGCCCACCCCCTGCAGCTGGCTGTGCCCCAGGAAACTCTTCCCTCCACTGCCCGCTTTCAGGCTTGAGGATAACTCTGTCTGCAGCCACCTCCTTCCAGGTGGAGCATGCTGAGGCAGCTGCCAGGCAGAGGGAGAAAGGGCTGAATAAAATGCACAGCTGAGTCGGCCCAGGGTCCCTGTGTGTGTGGGGGGGGTGTGGGCTGGAAGGGGCGAGAGGACGAGTGCCATGCGGGATCCTCCCCACTACCACACCTGGCACCTGCCCTCGCTGGGCTCGCCTTGTCCACCTCCAGTCCCCACCCAAGCCTGTCCACGCCCCCGCCCATGGCCCCACTCCCAGCATTAATCCCTCACTGCTGACCCAAGCAAAACGCAGTTCGCCTTCTCCCCTCTCGGCAGTTTTCTGTTGGCAAAGCAAAAAGGACTGCAGTGCACACTCGCCCGACTTCCCTCAGCGGTGGGGGGTGGCACTCTGAAATTAAGTGTCCCCATGTAGGCCGGGGTACCTGGACCGGAGGCCCAGGCATCATGGCTCAGATGTTCCTGCACACACAGCCCCCATGCGTGACCAGCCCCGCCCTCTTCCATGTCCTCTGTGGGTCCTGGGGACAGGGCCCTATACTCCCACCTCAGCAGTCCCTGGCCCCTCCCCCTTGCCCACACAGGTGGGAACTGTCCACAGGTAATCATGGTGCTATTGGACAAGCTGGAGTGGCCCCTGCCACAGCCCAGGGGCCCGTCTGTGGCACACAGTGACAAATGGTGATGTGGCTAAAGCCCATGACACACGTATCCTCAGGCCAGACTGGAGAAGGTCCCAGCCAGGAAAGCCCAGGAATGAGCAAGCAGGACCCATGTGCAAGAATGTGCTCCATGGACAGGCAGGTAGGCACCCGTGCAGGCTGTGGCCCTCAGGGCAGCTGCTGCCCGCTGGGGAAGCCTTGGCCCCAGGCAGCTCTCAGGCATAGCTCCCTGGAGGGCTCCTGTGCAGCTGGCCCTGTGCATCCAGCCTGGATGCCAACACAGTGCAGCCCCAGGTCTCCTGCTCTGCTCCTAGCCTGGGCAGGGCAGAACCGACCCTGGACTCTGGACCCTGAGCTGCTGCCTGCTGAGAAGGCTTGTGGCGGGACTTACCACACATGCTGCCCTGGGGAGGGGATGTACAGCATTGACCCCATGTTGGGGCATAGGCCATGACTGGCTGCTGAGGCAAAGCTGAGGGTTCTGCCAGGCCTGGAGTCATGCCCTTGGCTGGTCCCCGAGGCCTTCTGGAGCCGGCCGGCGACTCCACCCACTGCCGATTCAGCTGTCTGGGTGGACTTGGGAGAGCCTGGGAGGCTGGACAGGACAATCCATCCCTGTGCACCCAGGAGGCAGGCGCCAGCTGCTGTGGTGTGAGGACAGGGTGGCGGCCCTCTCCCGCAGCAGGGTGGCTCTCCGGGAGGCCCTTGTAGTGGCCAGAGCTGTGCAGGCCAGGCCCAAGGAGCTCAGGTGGGTCTCAGCAGCTACCTTCCCTTCGGAAAGGAGGCCCTGCTGCCCTAGAAGGCATGCCAGGCTCTCTCCACTGCTCAGCCTTGCCTGGCCTAGAACTCTCCAGAGGCCCCTGACCCCATGAGGTCCCCCTGGACCTCAGGAACCCACCACTGATGGCTCGGGAAAACCCATGTACGCCAGGCTTCCTCATTACCCTTGGGAGAGCTTGGCGGTGACCCCCACTTCACAGCGACCAGGAGCCTAGCCCCAGTTGTGCTCAACTCCAGCTGTAAGGAGCCTGCCCCGTATCAGGAGCAGGAGACACGATGGCCTGAGAGGTGGGGGGGCATGGCTGGTGGGGGCCAGGAGTGAAGGCCAGGCTTGGTCAGAGACCAGGAGAGGGGGCTGTGGAGCAGGACAGGGGGGCACCCAGGCTGCCCGCCCCAGGGAGGGCTGTGCTCTTGGGGGAAAGCCTCCTCCCTGCCAGCCTGTGGTGGCCCACAGCTGGGCAGTGCAGCAGGCAGGTGGCAGCTCCTGTCCCCTCCTACCCCCCCCATCTGGACAGGTCGAGGAGGCAGGGAGTCACCGTGCTCTCCTCGACAGGGCCTGCCACCCTGTCATCTCTGATTAGCAAGTAATAACCTCTTTGACACACAGTTTTATTAATCAAATTAATAAGTGCTCAGGAGACCCGTGACCTTGGCCGTTCTGCTGAGACAGGATTCTCCCGAGGAGGGAAGCACTCGGGCTGCCCCCAGACTTAGGCAGGCCTTTCCCCTGAGCCCCCCATAGCCCACACTCACATACCCCTGCCCCAAGACCGGCACTAATGCAGAAACACGCATGTGACAGACGCAGGACCCTGGACCCAGAGCTCTGATGCAGAGCAGGCTGCTCCCACCTGGGGACCCTTGGAAGGGACCGGATGAGAGCGCAGGGGTCTTAGACTGCAAGGGGGGCTGCTTGCTTTCCTGGGTGTGCTACCTGCCCCTTCCCAAACCTGCACCTGCCTGAAGAACCACCTCTTGCCTGCTGAGCAGGTAGCTGCTGCCCCCTTGTGGCCACTGGGGGCAACTCCTGGCCAACCCTGTTCTGGTCCAGGGCTGGGAGGAGGGTGATCCTGGGGCCCTCAGGGGAGAGCCCTCCCATGGTTTCTCCTGGGTGCAGCTCTGACCTGCCCACGTAGCCCTTGTCAGCACCCCCTGGAGCCCAGGTCCTCAGCCCACCCCCCTGGGGACCAGGAGCAGGGCAGGAAGGGAGGCCTGTAGGTGTGCAGCGGTGAGCCCTGTCTAGCTAGAATGGCGGGAGCTTGACTCAGGCCACGGATGAAACTGGAGGGTCCATGCCCAGGGCATCATCAGGGTGGACAGGACCCTGTACGGTGGTCAGGGGATGGCCCAGCCGAGGGAGCCTGTGGCAGGGGCAGCATCAGTCCCGGCTCCCCAGGACAGCATCTTCGGGGACTCTGCAGGCAGAGACTGTGCTAAGCCCCTTCAGCCCACCCCTTGCTGCTCCAGATGGTGACTTGGGTGTGTGAGGACTGCCCAGAGGGGACTGGGATGCTCCTGTGTGGGTGAAATGGTCACAGCCCCCAGCACTGGGCCCAGACCCCGCTCTTCTCCTCCTGGTCTTTAATGGGCAGGCAGGCACACCCCACACAGCCTCAGGCAGTGGGCGGCTGAAGGTTCTCTGGATTGGGGAGGGCATGACGGCTGCTCCCAGATAGCTGGAGCCTGTACCTGGCAAGGTGTACAAGGAGCGGCCCCTCACGGCCACCCTGGGCTCTCAGGGGGTGAAGGCAGTGCCTGTGGGTCAGGGGAGGTTGCAGCAGCCCCCGCTAGGGTACAGGGCTGGGCACTGTCTCTGCTCTTGTCCTGCTTCGCCTTGCGGCTCCAGCCAAGAAGGGGCCGGGGGCTGGCCCGAGCAGGCGCTGGCGTCTTGCAACCTCGCTCCCTCTGGCTCCTCAGAAGTCCCCCGGGGCCCAGCAGGGCTGGCCAGCGGTCCCCCTGCAGCCAAGACAGACAGACTATGATCAGCTCTTGCTGACCTGCCCCTGCCTGTGGCCCATGTGGGAGGTGGCTGGCTTGTTGGGGGCCTGTCTGGGGGCTCCTGTCAGGGCAGCAATGTAGCAGGGGCCCCATGGGTTTTCACTGAGTCCCGTGTAGGCCATGCTGGGTGGTGAACCTCTGTGATGGAGCCTGTGGCCTGGAGGCCTCAAGTCTGGAGACACAGAGGCCCAGTGAAGAGTGGGTGGGGCTTTCTCTGACAGAACAGTGGCCCCCAAGTGGAGACAGCCACATAGGTGGCCACTGCCTATAAGGCCACCCCCAGGGAGAGTGTGCCCCGGCTACCTTTTACTGAAGTCTCTGGAGCACCCAGGGCAAGGCCCAGGGCCAGGGTAGGCCAAGGAGGTTGAGGACCACCCTGCCATGGACCCAGGGGCTCACCGCGACAGGTGGCCCCGAGCCGGGCAGCAGTGACACCACCTGCAGGCTCACACCTGCCTCGCCCACGCCCTTCAGCTGGGCCACCACCTCAGTGTGCTTCCACCACTTGCATGGCTGCCCGTTCACCGACACAATGTAGTCACCCTCCTTCAGTCCGGCTGCCTGTGGGGAGCATGGATAGTAAGGTGGGGATAATATGGCTGGTGGCCCACGGGCTTGGGCTTAGGGGCTGGCAGAGCCCTTACCGCAGCCTGGCCTCCTGGAATGACAGCAGCAATGAGGACGGGTGAGTCTCCCCGAAGCGTGAAGCCGAAGCCATTCTCTCCTCGGGTCACATGGACAGGCCCCACCAGTCGCCACCGGTTCTTGGCTGAGAACACGGACAGGGGCCCCTGAGGGAGTCAGAGGTCAGAGACCTGACTGAGCTGCAGTCTGAAGAGCCCAGGTCTGTCCAGCACCCCTGCCCAACCGGTATTTCCCAGGGCAGGAACCAGCATGGTGCCATGGAGGGCTTGGCCCGGCCTCCCTCCCGTCAGTGAAAATGCAGTGCAGAGCCAGTGACCCAAGCCTGCTGGGAGGGGCAGCCTGAGAGAGATGCTGGCTGGCCCGGATGTGCTCACCAGCCGGTGGAAGATGTCAGCCACCTTCACCTGGGACAGGCAGGGTGTCCTGGCCTCTGGTTTGTGGTGGGTCTTAGCTGAAAGTGGAAAGGAGGAAGGGCAGCACTAAGCCGAGGCTTGCTGGACCGGACCCAGCCAGACTGCAGTGAGGGTGGCCTGCCTGTACACTGGCCCTTCCTTGGGCCTCCAGGCCTGGCTGCCCCCAGTGGGGGGAGGAGCTGTCCCAGGTCCCCTGAAAACATGAACACCCCCCCCCCCACCTGCCACACGTGGCTCTCAGAGCCCTCCCTGAAGTCCCAGCTGAGGAACGGAAGAGCCTGTAGGGTCTTCCTTCAGGCTGCCGGCAGGCCTGACAGCTCCCGGACATTGAGATCGCAGCTGTTGAAAGTACAACTGCCCTTATTATTAATCATGGGCACTGCACCTTTAAGAGCAGCTGCCCATCTCCCACCCTCTGCCAGGACCCAGTTCCCACCCCATCCTGGCCCTGGCTGCTCACGCTGGATGTCGGGGGCCTCAGCAGCCTCGCAGAAGTCATCCTCACAGTCGAGCTCTGAGTACCTGGCCAGTGAGCGCCGCAGCGCCTGGGCCACTACAGCCTGCAGCAGGTCCACCTCGCGCAGGACGCGGCACACGGCGTGCAGCCGTAGCGCCTCCTCCTGCCCTAGGATGGCACGTTTCAGGTGGGCCTTGCCTGCAGGTGGGGCATAGCGCTGTCACACAGCGAGGGCCTCCAGGGCCCCCAGACCAGGCAGCCGTTCCAGGATGAGTCCCAGCTCCCCCACTCCAGGGTGCAGCACAAGGGGTGGGTAAGGCCAGGGTTTCTGGGTTCATCCTGAGGGTCTGCAGCCATGGTCAAAAGCAGGGTGTGGCTACAGGGGCTGACAAGGAGCAGGCTGGTCCAGGAGGGCCTCGCAAGTGTGCCCACCAGCCCAGAGGCTGCCTTGGGGCCCCTGCTCTTGGCCATCACCCACCAGACTAGAGGACAGGTCAGTGGCCCCACCCACCAGCATTGGGATACCAGGTGCTAAATGATGCAAGTGACAGAAGGGGCATCCTGTGCACCTGGCCTGCCACTGAGCCCAGTGCCCTCTGTCCGTGATTGCCTCACCAAGTCTCCTGCGCTTCTCGGGCTCCTGTGGCAGTGCAGGTCCTTGGGGTGCACAGAAGTCCGGAGGCTGGAGGAAGACCTGCTTGTGCGTGGGAAGCTCTCCCTTGGCCACCACTGGGGGTCAGAGAGGCTGTGAGCCCCAATGCTGGGGCCTCTGCAGCACATATGGGGCATACGGGAAGGGGGCACTCACGGGAGCCGTCGCAGAGGGCTACGGCAGCATGGTAGTGGGCCAGGGAGCGGAAGTACTCGGCCTTGACGCACACCAGGGCATTCCAGGAGACGGGCATGCAGTCACGGACAGGTGGCTGGGCCATGGTCTGGTGCACAAGCCTGTACTCGGCTGCCACCTGCCGTGGACACAGCGAGTACTCTGGGCCTCCCACTTTCCTCCTGGAGGTTCAGTGGGACGCAAGGGACAAGGCCAGCCTGGTCCCCCAGCCAGCCCTGGGCCCTGCCTTGATCTACCCTGACCGTGTACCAGGAGTGTCACCCAAGCTGAGCTAAGCTCAGGGGTCAGAGCCTGCTCCAATTCACACGGTGCCCCAGAGGAAGGAGCTCAGGACCCCAGAGGGACCAGGATGCAGCTGGCTTTGGAGCCGACACACAGAGGAGGTGGGCACTCCAGCCCTGCCTTCCCCGGGTTGACCCTAGCTCTGCCTTCACCTCCAACCCCGGTGCCCTGCCCCAGCTCCTGTCCACTGCCCAGTGCTGCTTGGCCAGGCTGTCTAGGGATCCAGGCAGGGCACCCTAAACTCACCTGGGCAGCCTCCTGAGCCAGACGCAGCTGGGCAGGGCCGTCACTGGGGGCCGCGGGGACAGGCAACAAGAGGCCCTCGAAGACGCACTCCTGGGCCTGGGCAGCCATGAGCTGCTCCAGTGCGCAGAGCAAGGCAGCACTCATATCCGGACTCGGCGCATGGGAGAAGTTCTCCCTCAGGAGGCTGAAGGCCCCTGCAGAGGGAGGGGGTGCTTGAGGGGGCAGTTCTGGTCCCACACAGCACCAAGGGAGGGCCGCTGCTTGCTCAGCCCCTCACACTGGGGGGACATCCTAACTTCCTCCCAGTTCCTGCCCCAGAGATGGGGCCCTGCAACACCTGCCCCCACGGGAAGGTGGGCCCCACTATGGGCCCGGGCTACCCTCACCAGCAGCCCTCTGGAAGGCCTCAACGGCGCGGCTGGTGCCCTCAGCGCAGGAGCGGTCCTGGCGTGCCCCGATCTGCGTGTGGAGGGCGCCAATGTTGAAGAGCACACTGCCCTTCTCGAAGGCCAGGGCACGCTGCTGGGCCGGGACCCCCGTGAGCGAGTCGTACCTGTGGGGTGGGTCAGGCTAGCAGAGTTCCCACAAAGCCTGCCCATCCCACCCAGGGCACCCCACCCGCCAAGCCTCCTACCAGTGGAAGAAGAGCCCCAGGCTCCTGGCGGGGGTGAGGAAGCGCGCGTCCAGGAAGCAGAGCTGGTTGTAGTAGGCTGCCAGCAGCTCCAGGCCTGCCTCGTTCCGGCTGGGGTTCCGTATGGCCTGCAGGGCAGGAGCTGCTGGGCCCACCACCCTGGCCCACCCCACTCACATGCACCCTGGGGTGGCCCTTTGAGCACCAGCCCCTGGGGGGTGGGGAGGTAAGGGGAGGGCAGTGTGGGGGAGGGGCAGGCAGGGCCCTGGGGAACTGCCATTCCCAAAGGCCAGCAGTCTGTGGCATGCACAGAGCCACCCATGAGACCCTCCTTGCATACTGGGAGGGTGTGTATATATGGGGAACCCTGGGAATGCCTGTATCCCCAGTGTCTTCCAGCTTCCCCGAAGTCTTCCAGCTTCCCCGAGATGTGGGGACTCTTGCCATGTGAGCGTCTACACTGAGCTCGATCTCACCCTCGCAGTTCCTGACTCAAGCCTCAGCCTTCTCATTTGTCTTCAGGACTGCAGTGGAGGAAGAGCCCACACACCTGCCGCAGGGCCTCCAGCTCCCTGATCTCTGCCTCGTAGGAGGTGCTGTCCTCTCCAAAGTGCCCCGAGATCAGCTCCTGTGGGGGGGGGTAGGTGTTGGCCACCCCTGTGCCTGGCCACCTTCCCTGGGGTCTCCCAGCCTGCTGTGGAGGAAGACCCATAGTGGAGTAGGGTCCACGCCATGGGACAGGCTGGCTGCAGTGGTCAGAGATGCTGCCTGGGCCCAGCAGTGTATCCTTGAGGGCCTCTTGCTGTGGCACCCCAAGATCCCCTTGGCAGAAGCCCCAGAGAACAGCTGTGGGCCAGTGTGAACGGAGGGCCTGGTGGGCCCTGGGGCTGGGTACTGATGGGGATCCTGCCCCTTGGCCCTGGTATTTCCCTCACCTCCATCCTCATCACAGAAGTGGGGCCAGGAAACTCATTGGTGCTGTTTTTATGCATATTCCCTTATTAATCCCCATGGCAGCCCTGACAGGCAGGTGCCATCCTCTACCTGACAGGCACAGTGCAGGTCACTGTCCCATGGGCCCTGTTCTGGGGCCTGAGTCCTCTCCAGGGCACTTGTGAGCCAGCGATGGGCAGAGGCCCCAAGTCAGCATAACCCTCACTAGCAGGACAGGCCGGGACCCTGTGGCCATCCTGGGGTTCCCTGCAGGATGACCAGGCCCCATCAGGTGTCCCAACCCACCCTCACCCACTCAGATCACCCTACAGCTGGGACGTGGGCCACAGTGCAGGTCCTGAACACAGCAGGCTTGGCCAAGAGCAAGACATTCCTGTCACGTCCCTGGGAACCCCCAGGTCAGCTTTTCTTCCCTCTGGGCCTCGGTTTCTTCATCTGTCCCTCAGAGCCCACAGGCCAGAACTTACCTTTAGGGGTGTGGCCCAGTCCAGTTCCTTGGTCTCCTTTAGACCCAGGGGGATCATGGGGGCAGCAACACCTTCACTACAACCAAAAGAACCAACCGCAAATGCTCAGGCTGGGCCCTGCCACCCAGAGTGCCTGGACTCCACCCCACGGTTCCCACCATACGGATGCATCGCCTGCCCTAGTGGATGCCGAGTGTGTACGTGTCCTGGTGGCATCCTTGCTCAAACACACATGCACTGTCCTAAATCACCCCTTGCATACCCACACCCACACACACACCTCCCATGCCGGCACGTGTCCACGCTGCCATCAAGCTGCTCCAGCTCCTCCTTCAGCAGCTGCAGGTTGGCGTTGACATAGCTCAGCTCCAGGGCGACTGTCTCCCTGACCCGGTGGTTGCTGGTGGCTCTGGGGAAAGCCAGGTGAGATCAGAAGCCCAGCCCTGTGTGGCCACTGCAGCCTTCCCGTCCACTGACCTGTTGGTGCCCCAGAGCCCACTCCTCAGAGGGACAGGCACCGATAGGCAGCCCGATGGTGAGGCAGGAGCAACAGCTAGATTGAAGGCCACAGGGCACCCTCCCCTACAGTTCGGCACCCTGATCCTTCAGCAGTGCAGACCCTGACTCGGGCTCAGACTTGCCCCCCCCCCCCAGCACCAGGGGTCTGGCAGAGGGACGGGGGTCCCTGTGGAAAGCTGGGCTGGGGGCAGGGAGGCAGAAGTCACTATGGGAAAGTCCCCTCTCCAGGAGCTCGCAGCTATGGCTGAGACAGTTGGGGTCACCTCCCTGGGCCCAGTCCCTTGTACATGCGCAGCTCACAGTTCACATGCTCTAAGGAAGAGGCTGCCCCTAGGCCTGGAAGATCCTTTCCCAGGCCCTCAACCTTGGGACATCTAGCCACCTGCCACAGCTCAGCCTCCACAGTGCCTCTTCTAAGAAGTGCCTGCTGGCCACCACATACACTGTTGGAGGCTCCCAAATTCTGCACACCAGGAGGACACCAGTTTCCTGGCACCTCAGGGAGGACCACAGAGACCATGTGCTCACAGGGTAGACACTGGTGGGCTATGTGGCCCCATCACCACCCTCCAGAGGTGGGCGATGCTGCCCTGGCCAGGGTGGTGGCAGGTGCTCACCTGTAGAGGTTCTCGGCGCCTGTCCGCATCTGCAGCTCCTTGCTGATCTGCTGGTAGATCCGGGCCCTGCGGCTTTGCAGCCTGCCATGCTGCGTCTGCATCAGGGGGTCACAGCCCTGTGGGGAGGCCACAGGTGATCACAGCGCTGACCTCTTGGAGCCACCAGAGGCCATGCCTCTGTCAGTTGGCTCAGAGGAGCACAGCCCACCCTTGGGCAAGAGGGTTGATGTCTAGCATCAATCATAGTATGCGTATTGATTTCATTGCTTATGTCTTCTTAAATGGTGTACAACATGGCAGGAGCGTTAAATTTTCCTTTGGTGCAATGCAGGCTTGCGCCTTAGCCCACCCCTCACCCTCGAGTCAGGTTGGGGTGTTGTCCACACAATGCTCACATGCTCCCCCCAACCAGGGCCGCCTCTGCACTCTCCCCAGTGGTCACACAGGGGTCCCTGGCTCTTCTCCATCCTGCAGGATGCTGTTGGGAACACCCAACAAGGTTCTCTGTAGCCAAGTGTGGCTGTGCCCTGGGCAGGGTCCCAGGTGTGGGTTGGCCAGCCTCTCTGATGTCCACCCCTTCTGTGCTGTGAGAACCCTGGTCTTGTTCAGGACTCATGCTCAGGGACAGTGACCCCCACCCCAGCTCGGGGATGAACACTTTTGACTCTGAGTCAGGCGTGGCAACTCTGGTCCCTGCTAACAGGTGACCTATTTCTGCCCATCAGCTATAAGAGCAGGTCTCCTGGGAACAGTTTCCTTGCCCTTTTAAGATACAAGCAAGAACCAGGCCTCTTCTCTCCCAGAATACTGCTGTGTGAAGGTGAATCTTGTGACCATGAAGAGAGCCAACCTGAAACTGAGGCATCACCACATAAGGTTACGGGTTCATGGGAGGACAAACACTGCATGACACACCCTCTGTCCACACACTCGCACCTCTCAGGCCATTCCATTTTTTCCAGAAGGAGCTCGTGCATGTTTTCCTGGGGTTTCCCCCTAAATATGCCACATATGGTTCCTTTTGCTACGGTAAATGGGGTCTGCCTCTGCTTTTTAATTACCGCTGTTCACTACTGCAGGGGAATGATGCACCTTGTGTACAGCAGGCCTGCCGCCCCGCCCACACAGAGTGAGCACAGGGTGACCATCTATGACAGGCTGAACTATGTCCCCAGAAAGATATGTTCGAGCCATAACCCCCAGTACCTGTGAATGTGGTTTTATTTGGAAATAGGATCTTTGTAGATATAATTAGTTAAAAGGAAGTCATTCTGGAGTAGGGTGGGCCCTACTCACATTGACAAGTGGCTTTATCAGAAGTGGGGAATTTGGACACAGCCACACAGAGGAGGCCCTGTGAAGACAGAGGCATAGACTGGAGTGATGCAACCACGAGCCAAGAAACACAAGGAACCACCAGAAGGTGGAAAAAGCCTCCCCTGGAACTTCGGAGGGAGCGTGGCCCTGCCTTGATGGGCTTCTGGCTTCCAGAACTGTGAGAACAAGTTTCTGCTGTGTCAAGGCGCCCAGTTTGCAGTCACATGCTACAGCAGTCTCAGGGCACTCATACACTGTCCACTGGACGCTCCCACTGCCAAGTGCTGGGCTGGGGGAGCCTGACCCCGGGGGGAACACACCCCCAAGTTGAGGGATGAGCCAGTACTTATTAGGTGGGCGGAAATAGGCACTGGAGGGTCAAAGTGCATAAAGGCAGCAGACAGGGCTGGGAGGAAGGTGGGCAGGCTGGCCCAGGATCCTGCCCCTTGCAGCCCTGCCCCTGTGGATGCCATGAAGCAGGGGTAGGGCCAGATTTGCATTTGGAGACCTTCACCCTGCTCTAGCTTCCCACCCCTGCCTCTCCAGAAAAGAAAACCTCCCAGAGCTGTGGCCAGGGCTGCAGGAGTTCCCTGCAGTGGGGTCTAGGCCAAGGGCTTGGGCTGGAAAGGTGGCACAAGGTCCCCAAGTGGGAGTGAGGTGGGGGCAGCTTGGATCTGACCACCTCCTCTTGCCTCAGTCCACCCACCCTGGCCTCCCACCCTGACATTCTGCACCAGCTCCCGGCTCCAGTGCCTCTGCCCTGTACCTCAGAGATGCTGGGGCAGCACTCAGGCCAGGCTTGTCCCAGCATCTTGGCTGTCTCTGCAGTGGCCCCACCCCAGGGTGAAGAATTCAAGGCTCAGAAGGGGGCCTGGTCTTGGCCAAAGCTACCCAGTGAGTCGGGGGCCAGCCCATGGGAACTCAGAGACCCACTTGAGTCCACCCATGTAGCCCAGGAGTCCCAAGACCTGGACTCTGCCCCTTTCTAGCAGATCAGGCCTGGGCCTTGGGGTACCACTTCCCTTATCTGGACTTCAGTGGGCCTGAAATAAATGACTCCCCAGACCCTCTGGTGATGGAATTCTGGGACCCTGCCAGGCAGGCCTGGTGGCCTTGGGTGGGTTCAGGTGGGATGAGGGTAGGCTCTCTGCTCTCCCCTGCGGGCCCTGGCTCTTTCATGGGGAAGGTGGGGTGTGGGGCTGGGGACCAGGCTGAGGCACCCCAATGGTCTCAACCAGGAGATGGGAACAGACCGTAGGGCCATGAGAAAGGGGACCCCACTCACAGGAACATAGGGGGACATACACCAGGTCAAAGCTGACACCCGGAGCCTCATGCCTGGAGGATAAGGAGGAGGTGGGGAGAGAGTGCTATTTCCCCACTACAGCCCTGACAAAAGTACACTTTTTACTGCTTTTGGCCCCTCCACCCAAACCTAGGCCTCCCTCCAGACAGACCCCCCAGGCTGGACCCCTGTCTCTTGCTGACCTAGCTCTTCTCCCAGAGCCCCCACCTGTGGCCCAGTGCCTCTCCCACAGCCACTCGCTGCTTCACAGGCCCCCCAGACTCAGATCCTGCCTGGCTCCTCCCCCACTCACCCTGTCAGCCAACAGAGCCACCTGGCTGAGTAGCCTTCCTGGAGCTGCCAAACCATCCACACCTTCTGCCCCTCCTTGGTCTAGCACCAGCAGACCCCACCACAGCCCACCCTCCTCCCACCAGCTCCCCCACGGCCCACCTTCAAGGCAGTGATTAAGTCTGTGCCAGGAGGACTAACCTGCCCTTGCTGGACCCCACCTTTCACTCTGTGGGGACCCCCAGCCCATCCATGCTGCAAACACAGCCCACTTCAGAAGCTGGATAGCCTTTCCAACAAGCCCACCCTCAAGGCCCACAGCCCCTCCAACAGGCGGCCCTGCCCCTGGCCCCCACAAAGCCCAGGGACCTGGCTGGGCCTGGCTCAAGAGCTCTGCCCATAGGGCCTGCAGGTCAGTGTAGCCACAGGCACTGAGTGGTCACAGACACCTGGTGGTTACTTGATGTGGGCCTGCACTGCTTGGGCAATGGGTGCATAGCACAGCCAGGTGGACGGCGAGGCACTGAGTCTGGTGTCCCTCTGCCAGCCCTGGTGGTGGCTGGGTTCCTCCTGACATCCTCCCTCTCCAGTCCCAGGCCCAGACATGACCTGGGGGCTTCTTCCTGGCACTGCAGGGGATGGAAGCACCTCAGCGAAGCTGTGGGCCAGGGCCTGCCCAGTGTCTGGGCACTTGACCATGGACGCAGGACAGGATGGGGAGGCAGGCTCTAGCCCACATGCTGCTCAGCCTGGCTAGACTCACAAATAGCAGGCTAGGTCCTACTGCCCTGGGCTTGTCTCTAAGCTGAGGGCTCCTCCCTATACATAGCCTGTCCACAGGCCTGCCCATTTCCAGGGCCACAGGCAGGAAAGTGCTATGTGGACTCCTGGCCATGGCGATGCCACAGACAAGGCTACCAGAAGGCTCCAGCAAGGGTGGGTAAGAGGCTCCGCAGAGGCTGATGGGGAAGCAGGACAGGGCCACGTAGGCACAGCAGAGGTCACTGACCACAATTCCCTCGAGCCATTTAGGGGCCTCCCCCCATCTGGGCCACTTGCCAGCCCAGGAGTTGGTGGGAAGGACTTCTTAGAAAGCAAAATCCCTGCAGGAGTCCCCGATCCCCTGAACAGAGTGAGGACAAGGTCACAGCACTTCCCAGGACCCTGCCCTGCTGGTGGGAGCAGGGAGAGGGTTTTACTGACACAGAGCTGACATTGGCCACGTATTTGAAGAAGTGTCACTTATTTTCCTGCATATGTCCCCATGGTCACACACGGGACAGTGTCAGACTCTCCGGGGCCTCTAGCTTGTCCTAGCCCCTTGTGAGGGCACCCTAAGAAAGGTCTCACATCTGGAGTGAGGAGCTCCTCATGCATAGCCACCTTGGATTAGGGCCCAACATCTGCTGCTGCACGGCTAGCTTCTCAAGAGAGGTCAGTTGATCAGGGAAGACTTCCCATAGGAGAGGGCACTGGGGTTGGGATGTGAAGGGCAGGTGGCCTCCAAGCTGCCCTTGCGTAACTGGGGAGAGGACATTTACCCCAGCCAAAAAACAGAAGGAAGAGCAGTGGACTCGGAGTGAGTCCCGTGGGGGGAATCCCCAGCAGCCCTTCATCAGCAGATGGCAGGAGAGGCTGGTCTTGGGTGGCATAAGGAGGGACAAGAGAAAACACAGCCCCCCACTGTGTTTCTCTGTTCTCCATCCCTTTCTGCCAGGTCCTCCCCCATGTGGGCCATTCCTGTTGGGAACCCAAAGACCAAAGCACGTTTGCCTGCTAGCTGAGCAACCCTTCCCAGTGGCCTGCTCCTCTTTTCCATGGCACCCTCCACACCTGCCTGTGCAGAAAGGGTGAGGCTGAGGCCCTGGCACTCTCCCCTCTATGGGGCAGGAGTCTGGCGAGGAAGGGTGAGCCACAGCCAAAACTATACACCCTCCTTCTTACAAAGGTCCTGCTGCAAAGCTCCAGCAAGTTCTAAGGGCTCTGGTGAGTAGCCCTGGCTGTGGCCCAGGGTGGGTGTGGCCATGTGCCGGGCAGTGGCCACCCAGCCCAGCAGGGCTGCCCTCATCAGATGATGTCCAGTGCTCCTCTCCTCACCCTCCTGGAGAGCTGCTCTGGGTTACTCAGCCATGTAGGCACCAGCCCATGGCCTGGGTGCTCCTAGGCCTCCCTGCCCATAGCACCCCCTCCAGGAAGCCATGCAGCTTCCTGGCCTTCGTGGGAAGGTCCAGACCTCTGGGGTGGAGCAGTCCTTGGAAACCACTTTCCACACTGGGCTGAGGGATGTGCCAGAGGGTGTGGATCGTGGGTAATCAGCCCCCCACTATACGACCTCCTCCGCCCTCTGTAAACAAAGGTGACCTAGACCCTGCCTTGGCCTCTGACATCACCATGACTATTTCTGCCTGACACTGGGAAAGAGCAAACGTGCTTTGGTCTTTGGGTTCCCAACAGGAATGGCTCACATGGGGGAGGGCCTGGCAGAAAGGAATGGAGAGCAGAGAAACAAACACCCCCACCCTGCACACTCCGACAATGGCATAGGTCTGGTGGCTCCTGCTACCTGGGGAATGCCCAGGCCCAAAGTCTCCAGAAGCCTGGGAGGAAATGGTGTGGCAGTGGCCAGAATTAGGCTGTCCCTAGGACTCACAAAAGTGGGAGACAGTCATCCCAGCCCTGCCTGAGAACAACAAAACCATTAGAGTGGTGTAGGCCCCCCTCCCCCAGGATCTCCCCCAGCACTGGGCTCAGTCAGTCCCCAGGGAGAGGCCCCAACCCTGGCAAACCAGCTTCCCTCTCTCAGAGGCCTGGCCCTGGGCACCTTGCCTGCTGACACCCTCTCATCTTAGGGACGCCACTCCCTTCCCTCTCCAAAGTCTCACCTGAGCATAGAGGAATTGGAAGCCTAGCACCCTACTGACCTACCATCTCTGCCCCCCAAATGCTATGTGGCATGGCCACAAAGGGGTCTCCCAGGACACAGTGGCTACAAGCCACACAAACACTAGATGGACCACAGATCGGCCACCACGCCAGCTGAGAGTCAAGGCAGGTGCCCCAGGGATCCTGCGTCCTTTGATGTTTGCTTGGACACTGGGGCACCGGTGGTTCCTGAGCACCTGCCTCTCTCTACAGGTTAATTTAACTGGCCCAGGCCTGGTAATCTGTGTTTGTAACAAGTACCCAGGAGGTGCTGGTGTCTAGTCAAGCTGGGGAAGCTCAAACTGACCATCAGGCATGCTGGAGACGAGAAGGGCCAGCCCCTGCCTGCCACGCTGCTCCAAAGCTCCCCCTCTTGGCCCCTCTCCTGCTTCCCCACAGCCTCCTCAACCCCTTAGCCCAAGATCTCCCCAGGAAACCATGGGACTCAAAGTCACACTTCCCCATACAGCTAGGCTGGGAGCCCCTGCCACCCTAGGAGGAGGGTTGTGGGTAGGCTCACTCCTTCGATTCCCTGCTGGCCAACCTTGGACTGTTCCTAGAACTCAGCCTGTTCTTCAGATGGGTTAGCCAAGGCCCAGGGCCAGCAGGGTTCCTTGTGGCAGGCTGGGTGAGGACTCCAGGTAAGCACTCACTGGACGCCAGTTCTCATTGCTCTTGGGGCAAATTTGAGTCACTCAGACTGTTCACAGGGGCCACAGACGCAAAGATGGCTCTTAAGGGCTGACCAGTCTTGCCCTGCTCAACTCCAAGCATTATGGCTGGTAAGAGGGCCAGCCTGGTGGGGTGGGGGAACTCGGCCTCACTCTAGCCCTGCCGCTGGCATCAGAAAAGGCTGTGTAGGTGGCAGGACAGCCTGAGCTATGCACGTATGACTTAGGTCCTGCCTCAGCAGGCTGGGGTCCCACAGCCACCTCCCACAGGCTCCCATGCCTGCTTAGGACCCTGACTGCTGGATTATCCGTGGATGGTGTGCGTGAGAGACACAGCAGCCCAGAGAGACAGCTGGAGACGGTTTCTGCTCCCCCTTCCAGGGCAGCAGCCAACAGAGGGCAAGGACAGAAAGCCTGGCCACAGCCTACAGCCTGAAAAATGTTGTCTACTAGCTCTCTGGAACATCTTGTTTGTGCAGCTCCCAAACATTCCACCCAAACAACACGTGCCCTCTCCAAAGGCCACCTGCAGGCATGGTCACCATTGGAGGGAGTGAGTTCACGGAGGCCAAGGGACAGGCCGCTTCTGTCTCCCAACGCCTGCTAGTTGCTGTAGTAGCATCTGGCACGACTAGGGGGTTGGGCAGGAAGGGAGTCCTTGAGGACTCTGGTCGGCACCACCTGGCCAGTTACTTGCAGCCCAAGGCCCCCTGTCCCTCCCAGAAGACCTGAGCTCCAACACAAAAGCTGAATAGAACCAGCCAAGGGACAATGTGCAGTCTGACATCCGAGAGGGGAAGAGAGCAAAGCGCTAGGGAAGACTCACCTGGGACTAGAAGCACGGAACCATCTCTGCTAAGCAGCCCCCAACTGAGAGCTGCTTGGGGGCATGGGCACCTGGTGCCTGGCAAGAACACAAGGGCAGCCCCACATTGATCCCCCAGGAACACCCAGGCTCCGGGCTGCAGAGCAAGGATGACCGACCATCCCCTCCTTCCCAGGCACAGACTCAACAGGTCTCCACACTCCACCCACCCGTCCTCCTTGCACAGTGCTCCTGGAAATGGTGCCCAGTCAGCGCCCGGGGTGAGGGACTTCAGAAGGGGTGGAGGTTCAGAGAAGCAACAAGAAAAAAAGCTGCCCAGCCCTGAAGACCTCCAGCGAGTCCCTATACCCGGGAGGCTTTAGCTGCCTGCGCTAAAAGTTTCTTCAAATGGGCCCTGAAGCCGGTACAAAGGGAGGGCGAAGCTAGGAAAGGAGGCATCACAGGTGCCAAACACAACCTCCGGGTGGGGCTGCCAGAACACCTCCCGGAGCCAGGGCTTCTAGCTTCAGGGAAGATGATGACCCGGACTTTGGCTCCCACCGATTCCTGTGTTGCACAGAGGGAGTCACTGCAGAGGGAGGAGGGACGCAGGCTCTGGCCTCAGTTTTCCCAGCGGTAAAACCCTGCTGCTCTGCCTCGGGGCGAGTGAGATGTGGGAGGGAAGTCGCCCGGGACGCGCCTATGACGGAGAGCAGGAGGAGCCGGGGGTCTGGGACGCGCTGGCCCGCCGCCCCCCACGCCCACCTTGCGGACGCCGCTCTCCTCTCCGGCGCCCTGGCCGTCCGGCCTCTCCTCGAGGATCATCGCCGTGCTGCCCAGCCGCCGCTCGGACAGCGCTCCGCAGCCGGGTCCGGCAGCCCGCACCACCCAGACCGCGGTGCTCCTAATGCCCACGCCGGTCCGAGACTGTCCCTGCTCCGCTAGGGGGTCCGGCGCGGCAGGGCTCAGACTCAGCGTGCGAAACTAGCTGCTGCCCAATCGGCGGTGGCGGCCGCTCCGACGGACAGCAACCATCACCAACCAGCGCTCCAGAGAGGCAGGCCTCGAGCGTCTAGTCCCACCCCGCCCGCGGAGTCCCGGGAATTCAGTAACCCCTGGCAACCGCGGCTTCGACGCCCGGCGGCAGGCTGGTAGCGCGCACTGCGCATGCGCCCAGGCCCAGGCTTGGCTAGCGGAGAAAGTTAGGGATAAGTAGGAGGACATGGCCGGGCAGGGCCTAGCTCCCTTTGCGGAAACTCCAGGAGTTTGCCCGCCGCGCCGTTTTATCTCGTCACCCTGGCAACGGGGACCCTCTAAGAGGGTTGTCCCAAAAATGTTTACAATGGGGTTTTTAAACGGTTTTCTGAGAGACGAGCGCTTGTGCGAGTTTAGAACAACGCCCGCTTTCTTCTCTCTGGCGGAGCCCAGCCAGGCTGCCCAGCGCGACGCGTCTGTCCGGCCTGTCGTGTTTCCAGAATCGCTTCCAGAAACTACCTGCCTCCACAGTGTCGACCCAAATAAATGACTGAGGCAAAAATCTCCATCAACACAGGTTTATTAAGCGAAGATGTTGAGGACGTGCTTGGGACCAACAGCAACCACAGATAAGCAGAGCGGGCTGTTTTTCCCAAGGAGAGGTGGGGACCTTCAGCGTTGTAAAGGCAGCAGAGAGAAGGAAATGGCAGGGGGAGAAGGGCTGATGAGGTTGTGGTTACAGTCTTGTGAGGCCCAAGAAATCCACATTGTATGTAAAATAAGGGAGTGAGGAAGCATCAGTTATGCAGACATCCCTGGGCAGGTGGAAGAATGTCTGACTCTGTCTTGTCTCCAGTTCTGTTACCTGTAAGATCAACTGGTAATTCATTCTTAGTGTGCAATCAAACAGGCTTTAGTTTTAGGTGCCACAGGTACAATTTGCAGGTCCTTGCTTATGGGAGGTCAGCAGGTAATTTCCTTAATGAATGATCTGTGGGGCCTGCTCTTCACAGTGCCTGAGGCTTCTACTTTCTCTTTTGCACAATGAGAGGAGGGGTGGCCCTGAGACTTTGAATTTCTTTTTACAAAAATCTGCCTCTGGAACCCTCCTGCTTCCAGAATCTGTTTCCAGAACTACCTGCCTCCAGAACCTATTGGTAGAACTTGTTTGCTGCCAGAACAGACCTTCCAGAATCTGCTTCCCGAATCTGCTTCCAGAACCAGCGTGCCTCCAGGACCACCTGCTTGCAGAATTGGACTCTTTCCAGAGCCTGCATTGCTGCCTACCAGGCCCCCAGCAATATGCCTCCTTCAGGTGGTTTCATACCTCTCCAGGTTTCTGGTGATTCTGAAACCCACTCAGATTTCATGTGGGGCTCTCCTCACCTAAGAACACACCCTTTGTAGGGCAGGAGGACAAGGGCATAGGCAGTGACCTCGGCTTCTCTAGCAAGTTCCTCTAAAGTTCCATCTTTGTCCGAGCTAACCAGGGTCAAGGCTTGGTGCTGAGCCCTGGGCTCCCCACCCCCACCCCAGCAAGCACACTTGACCCTATTATCTCCAGATCTAAATCCTGTAAGCTGAGCTCCTTGGCCTGGCCTGACCATCTGCAGTGAGCTCCTCCCAGCAACAGCCCTCTCATCAGGCCCCTGCCAGCCAGACCTCCTGCCCAGGACTTGTCCTCCTCTCCTGGCTTTGTGGGGCCCTCCGGGCATCTGCTCCCCTGAAGGTCCTTCGGCTTGTCATCTGCCTGGTGAATTCCCACCTGTCCTCCTCACTTCTGCCCTAATCGCACAGACACAGGAGATCACTACATGTGCAGCTCCGTGGCCCGAGGTTCCACAAGGGCAGGGGCTCCTGGCCACCTTACCAGTGGGGCCTGAATGTGGGCTGATGATTCAAGTTCACAGTGAGTGCATTTGTGTGAGGACTTCGCTGAGGGTCATCTCCTTGGAAGTCTGGCACGACCTGTGTGAGCAAACAGACCCAAACCCTCTTAACAGTCTTCAGAATCTCCTACATGCATACATGCATAGGAGGCAAGCATGTGTGATTGAAATTGTATCCAGTTCTTCAATATTTGCTTTACTCTCTCAACAGTTTTGCAGGGCTTCTTGGTTCAATGGGAAGAGGGCATTGGGAGGTTTAGGAGGGGCTTGCAAACTTTGAGGGTCATAAGAGCACCCCCCATCCCCCAGGGATGCTTGTTTCCTGAAGGAAAAGATTTTCAAATGAGAATTTTATACTCAGCTGAAAACCATGTTGGAGAGTGAAATAAGGATATTTTCAGGTATAGAATATGTCCTTAAAAATTTTTCTTTCCCATTCATCCTTTCTCAGGAAGTCACTGGAAGATGAGCACCAACAAAATGAGGGACTAAACCAGTAGGGAGGCCAGGTGAGGTGGCTCACATCTGTAATCCTAACACTCTGGGAGGCCAAGGCGGGAGGATCACTTGAGGTCAGGAATTTGAGATCAGCTTGAGCAAGAGTGAGACCCCGTCTCTACTAAAAAGAAAGGGGGGAAAAACCCAGCTGGACATTAAGGCTTGTGCTTGTAGTCCCAGCTACCTGGAAGGCTGAGGCAGGAGGATTGCTTGAGCCCAGGAGCTGGAGGTTGTAGTGAGCTATGATGACACCACTACCCAGGGCAATGGAGTGAGACTCTGTCTCAACAACAAAAACACCCCAAGGCAACTGAGCTCCCCTCCTAACAAGCCCCTGCCCCTTCATATTAAAAGAAGAAGAAGAAAAAAACCAGTGGTGAGCTATGGCATTTAACAACCAGTCCTCAAGAGTAGGAGGAGCCCAGAGTTTTGTGTTTGCTGATTCCCTGGGTGGGATTACTCCCACCATGGCCCATTTCACGATGACACTGCCCAGAGTTGGGAAGAGATGGCCATGTGAGCCAGCTCCAGCACACCATGGAAAACCAAGGGAGGGGAAGACTCAGACAGGGACCAGGCATCCAATCCAGGCTGGAGAAAATTTCTGGGATGAGTGGAGTTCCTGGGCATCAGGCGTAGCAGGCTGGTGGGCTGCAGATCAGAAGAGCACTCTCCAAGAAGATAAAATTGATAGACTACCTGATGTGTCTGAACATACTAAGAGGAGACTCCATTGATTGGCAGAAAGCGTGGGGTTGTTAGTAAAGATTACATACAAAACAATGCAACAGCAACAGAATAATTGTTAACTCCAAGGAAAATAAAAAGCCATGAAGGAAATAAAAAGTGATCAATGAATATTACCTGATGCAACTGTATATTTCTTTTTCATTGTCATAATAATATAAACACTGGGTATTGATCCCAGGACAATTATAACATTATTCTATTAGGAGGAGGGAAGGAAAGAGAGAGGAAGATGGCAGAAGTGCGGGGCAAGAAGCCTCTGCCTCCAAGGTCATATCAATAGGTAATGCCTGAATTAGAAAAGAACATTCCAGAAGCAGAGGGATAAACATGTTGGGTAGAAAGTAGAATTAAATACCAAATCATCACTCCAAATGTTACAAAGGGCTGCCCCTGGGGACAGGCACTGGGGATGTGGGTGGGAGGCTGCTGTTTGCTAAGCAGGTCTTGTAGAGATACTTGGTTTGTTAAGCTGTGTGCTTGTATACCTTTGATAACACTGCAGTCCCAAAGCTTGAGTTTTTTTGTTTTTTTTTTTGTTTTTTTGAGACAGGGCCTGACTCTGTTGCCCAGGCTGGAGTGCAAAGGCTTGATAACAGCTCACTATAGCCTCAAATCCCTGGGCTTTAAGTGATCTTCCTGCCTTGGCCTCCCAGAGAGCTAGGATTATAGGTGTGAGCCACCGTGCCCAGTCCCAAAGCTTGTTGTTGTTGTTTTGTTTGTTTTTTTGAGACAGAGTCTTACTCTGTGGCCCTGGCTAGAGTGCCCAAAGCTTGTTTTTAAAGAGTGGATATCTAAGGCCAGGCCCGGTGGCTCATGCCTGTAATCCTAGCACTCTGGGAGGATGAGGTGGGCGGATCGCTCGAGGTCAGGAGTTCGAAACCAGCCTGAGTGAGACCCCGTGTCTACTAAAAATAGAAAGAAATTAATTGGCCAACTAAAAATATATAGAAAAAATTAGCCGGGCAGGGTGGCGCATGCCTGTAGTCCCTGCTACTCGGGAGGCTGAGGCAGAAGGATAGCTTGAGCCCAAGAGTTTGAGGTTGCTGTGAGCTAGGCTGATGCCATGGCACTCACTCTAGCCTGGGCAACAAAGTGAGACTCTGTCTCAAGAAAAATAAAATAAATAAAATAAAGAGTGGATATCTAGAGATTGACAACAAAAAAGTCCAAAATAAAATGTAAATATTTGGAAATGAAGAGATATTTCTCAAATAAAAGGAAGTTAAAACAGAAATTGACATTACCTAAAATGTAACTGGAAAGTAAATACATTCCTGAGCTGGGCAGATCTAAAAAAAATTCTATAAAAACTTGATGTAAAATTTGTACACTATAACCAAGGCTGGGCCCGGTGACTCACACCTGTAATCCTAGCAACTCTGGGAGGCCAAGGCAGGAGGATCACTTGAGCTCAGGAGCTCAGGAGTTTACAGAGTAGGAGTTTAAATACCAAACCATCACTCAAAATGTTACAAAGGACTGCCCCTGGGGAGAGGCATCAGGGATGTGGGTGGAAGGCTGCTGTTTGCTAAGGAGGTCTACTGAAAATAGAAAAATTAGCTGGGTGTGGTGGTGCATGCCTATAGGCCCAGCTACTTGGGAGGCTGAAGCAGGAGGATCACTTGAGTCATGTTGTGCCACAATGCCCAGCTGATTTTTCTATTTTTGGTAAATATAGGGTTTCGCTCTTGCTCAGGCTGGTCTTAAACTACTGACCTCAAGCAATCTTCCCACCTTGGCCTCCTGGAGTGCTAGCATTATAAGGCCTGAGCCACTGTGCCTGGCCCCAACACAATATCCATATAAAACTTGAATAAAAATATTAGCAAATCAAATCCAGCAGTGTATTGGAATACAGTGGCTTTGCATAGACCCACCCTGAGCAAAAAGTTTCCACATCAGGAACTTGTTCAACCAAAGTGATTTATCTCATCGATATACTAAAAAAATAAAAGCCATGTGAT